GTAGGTTGTGTAACAGTTTGGTTTTCTAAGGCAATCTAAATGTATTTTTCAGATCTATATGAATTTGAAATTTGTAGGTTTTGTAGGATTTCTTTTAAATTCAGTAGGTATCTTTTGTGAAGAGAATCGATTGAAAACCATGAAACCCACTGAATCCATGCAAACATCCACTGTTTTTCATTCTTACTAATGTCAAGAAAACTTCCTTGCGGTTGACTGCATTTTAAATCAGCTATTTCCACATTTTGTATGTATTTGGATTTTGCTATTACAGAAACAACATGTGATGTTCTTTAGCTTTTCATTTCACATCCTTAAGTAGGCAACAAAACTACATACTAACGATACTGAAAGGAATTGGAAAAAGATATAAATTCAGTACACCAAAGCAAAAATACCTTAATACTATTATTGTCACTAAGGCGTATCACCTATTGATTGGGAATTAGAGCTTTAAGTTTAGCAATCTTCAGTTACAAGCAATCCTCTTGTGGAGGATGAGAGCTCTCAGCAAGACCTTATAACACGCATTGAAAAATCCCCCTTACTGAGTTGCAAGATCTGAGACCCCATGTTTGAACCGAGCAAAGTCAGATATGTGTTTCATGGGATCTCATCATATCACAAAAAAAAAAAAAGTCTGCTGCAGCAGCAGCACATTTTTGTATACCTGCGCATCAAATCTGAAAACAAAGCCAAGTAGGACACGTAGAACACACAACTGCAGTTCTGTTTATATGAAAAATGAATTTAATCCCCCAGATCCCACCACGTCTCAGGTCGGATGCGTGTACGATCACAAACCTGGTGTCCAAACGTGCAGACCAGAAGGGCCTGCTCCATTTATCAAACCCCACAAGGCTGCTGCCCTTCTCTGGTCTGCTGCGGAGTCGCAGTACGGGTGGCAACACCCCTTCGCCCTTCTTAACTGCCACAAAAAACACCTCCCGACGCGGTTAGGCCTTGCTCTCTCAGAACGGCCAAGAGCAGGTACTCAGGTACCTTCACCTCAACTGGAAATGCAAGGATCTTGCACAAACCCCAAAGCGGAGCCCATACTGAATGACGTATGGATTCTTGGTACCGTATTAGAGAAATGGCAATTTATTTTTTTTCCAACAGCTCTTTCAAAATATTAATACAGGTAAACTTAATTCATTTGATGTGGAAGTACATGGCTAAGACAGGGGATGCAATGCCAACATACGGCTCCTGGTCAGACTCAAACCACCTGCATGCTTTCTTTGCACTACATTGAAACTTACTCTCTTCTCTTCTTTTGTCTTGGTGGCCAAGCCAGTGAAGGTCAGTGGCACAGTGAAGTAATGCAGCTTTCCTGTGCATCACCAGAAAGAGCTTCAAGGGATTCCCATACTGAATCCCTCCCCAGTATGGAATAGCTGTGGGTATTTTACATACGTTTTAAAGAGTGTTCTTATTTACACTGTTAATCCTGAAAGCTATTAATTTCACAGTGAAGTTACAAACTGTGCTGCATCATCAGATCTCCCAGATACCGCTTAAACTTCCAGTACTGGCAAACCTTTTCTAATAATTAGGATTATTCAGGTTAAGGGATCCTTCCTTTTTGGCTTTTCTGAGTGTACAGCCGAGCTGACTTAGTAGGGATCATTTATTAAGCTCGAACAAAAAGTTAACGGGGAACAGTGAGAACCTGAGTGTTCTCTTCTATTTTTTCTGACAGAGAGACTGCTCATGACTACAAACTATTCAGTTACCCTGGAAAGTGTTAATTTTTAAAATTTGGGGTTTTTTTAAGAGCAGAAACAGAGGCACCTCTGTTTTCAAATTAACAGGCAATACCCTAGGGCTCTGAATTCAAGATTATACTTTGTGAGTACCTTTCATAACACATACGGATGTGGAAGCCAGGCTTGCTTTTTACTGGCAATGCTCCCAAGACTGAAATTCGTGACAGCGTTGCAAGAGGTGTGGGGAGAGCTCGCTGCAGCTGCCGGGCGATCGAGACCCATCACGCAAAGAAACAACAAGTAAATGTCACCCGTTCCTAAAACGTGGTTGCCCTGCTGTATTAGATTTTAAGGTTAAATGCTTCCCCCCACCCACCCAAGCACTTAAAGCATATGTAAAGTTAAAAGGTGGTCTTCTGAATATTTGTGAAATGTGCAGCGCCTCGAGGAGCTCATTCACAAAAGCCCAGTTCTAAACCACCACCTCAGTAGCCCGCCCTAGCAGGATAAACTGGATCACTTTTCTCTTTCATTCAGCAAAGCATTGCCTGAAACCATTCAGGTTTAGCTTTTAACACCTATAGATATCAGTTATTACTCTTTTGAGGGAAATGTTTTCATAAATCATGAATGTGAGCAATCTCAGGAAAAAAACCACTTGATTTCACCCTCACCCCCACCCCCCTTGCCCCTAGGAGTCCAAAACCTGAAAGAACAAACTACAGGTGGAAGAGTAATTCTAACAACAAAGGGAAACATGTAATCAGCTGCCACAAATTGAGAATAACATGGGATATTCTGACCACAGGTGAAGCTTGCTGATGACAATGAAAGGAAAGGACTTAATTTGTAACACTGGGAAAATCATTGAACTCATACAGAACCATCATTAAAAACAGCTTCGTACTTGCTGCTACCCAGGAAGTTTTAGAAGGGGACCCAGTCAAAGACGATGCTGCCACTTGGCACCACAGACAGAAGAAAGTTTGTACGTACTACACGATAACCTTTTCAAGACGCCAAATTATTAGCACCTAGCAATTGATCAGAATGCTAAATTCAGGAAACTCAACCTCATCTACACAGTAAAAACCTACCATCCCACCTTTTCTGAGATAATTGCCTGGTGGCAAGCCACAGCCCACTGCGGAGCCGCAGGCTACCTGCAACCAAATCCGATTTTGAAGTTTTCTGCTTCATGTACTGCAATAGTTTTTCTGTTAGGGCAGCAACCAGTTCCTGCTGCTAAAGATGGGCATTCAGCTCTGCACCACCACAGTGTTCATCCCAAAGGCAGGGCAGCGGGCTGGCTCCAGAGGCAAAGCAACACTTCACTTGAACAGAGATTAAAAAGAGAAACACATGGCTGAAGTAACTTGTTCTAAACACATGTTGATGCCCTACTGGCTCCCTCCTCCTCATTGCAACAGCAGAGGATATTGTGGCAACGCTGGAACTGGTGAAAAAGTAGAACCTGCTGCAGATGCATAAGCAGGACTGACTGCCTGACACTACAGAAATCTCGCAGATCCAGTAAAATTCAGAAATTCCTGTTTTTTAAACAGTAAATGACACTGATAAATACCAGCTGAACTTCTCTGCATCGGCTCAATTTTTATTCCATGGAAATTAATCTTCTAAACAATATATCTGAATTTCAGTTCTCCTCCGAATTCAGTAACTGAAAAGGCCACTCACGAAGATGGATGAGTGATTTTTCATAACCCAACATAATAAATCCATTTCATTCATGTAACATCACAAGGTCTGACACCATTCACTTAAAAATAAAACTTCCATGTGGCAGCTTTGAGCAGTAACACTAGATGGTTTCATGGGACCTTTCGTGGAAGAGTCTTAGAACATGCAAATCTCTGTGCAGCTTGAGGCAGTCAGGGCCATCCTGATGCTACTGATGTCACAAGATTTCACTCAAAGTGCAACAAGACTCTTCAAACCTCTGAAAATCTGTGCTATAGGTATTCACTTATTTGTCAAAAATCACCAGACCGCTCACGAGTCAGGCGCCCCACTCCATCAACCAGACTGAGCTTTTTCCCTGGCAAGCTGACCAACGTTTTTCTATAGGTGATGACAGCAAAGCGTGTTCTGAGTAACTACTCATACTGTCCTACAGTCAAACGTTCATTCCGCTTGTGCTCCGAGGGAAGTGCTTATGTGAGCTACTGTCTCACTGCGGATTTCTATTTCATCTTTAGAAACCGATGAAAGTTTTTAGCATCCACACAATGATGCTTGTAACATCACTGCCTGCTCAGGGAATTCATTACACGAAGAGCAGCACGGTGGCACTGCCGTTATTTTCATTCTCTCCTACCTTCTTCTGTGCCTCATCAAACACGCTTCAGATCTGTCACACTGAACGTCAAGCCTTGTGCCTCTACGTGCGCGATGATGGGCAGATGTCTGTAACTGGGTCAGTCAAACATACCGGTTCTTTTTTAAGCTCTGCCATACTGCATCCAGAGAGCAGTAACTACGCCGCATTTTTGACGCTATTTTCACTGCAGCAGATGCATCACGCTCTAAGCACCAGTCAAGGTAGTCACTCTTCACAACGTGTTGTTTCTGTTATTTCTTGTACCTCTGCTTACTGCACTTCTTTCTGTATCGCTCAGGAAGCCCTACTGAAAATAGAAAGTACCATCAGTCTTATTTGATTCCCTCATTTAAAAAAACCCATTGCTCATGCAGTTTATCAGCATTATGTAGTCTTTGGGAACTGAGAAATGATACACGATCCATTCCTGC